CTTCATTCTCATCGAAGGGCTACAGCCTGAAGTATGAAAGATCTCTTCCAAACAGACTGGGAAAAAACCCATGGTCCCCTAAATCTGACCGTTGTTATCATTTTCCTTTGATGGTCTTGATGAAGGTGAATCCCGAAAAGCGCTTCGGACGTAATAAATTCATAAAATATTTTTTTCATATTTGACAATTATATTAGCAATTTGGGGTCTTGTATGGCTTACTATACGGTGTGGGATTTACTCATTGTTGAAAGCCGTACCGTGGTCTACAAAGTAAATTGATTATATCAGCATTATTTAGTCTCGTGAGATTGTTGTCTCATTGCCAATCATAAGTAAAGCGTAAGTTAATTCTTTAATTTGCCAGAGTATGGTAAAATGTTTGTTTTCTGGACTGCTTCCTGATGACCCATAATATGGTATGCCAAATCCCAATCTGAAGCGCAGGCATGCTGAGTATTTTTTAATTGATCTAATTATGAGTATATAACATGTAAGATATTATCGCCCTGAACCTCCTGCTAGATTGCTATTATTGCCGTAGTCGGGCGGCTTGCGTTACTCAGTGACCCCAAGAACTATGCCATCCAGAGCATCGTTTCCTTGTAGGGCACCCACGCTAGAAAGGTAGAAGGGTAGAGACATGGCATGCTAAGTATTTTTTAGTGGTCTAATTATGAGTATATAACATGTAAGATATTATCGCCCTGAACCCCCTGCTGGATTGCTATTATTGCCGTAGTCGGGCGGCTTGCGTTACTCAGTGACCCCAAGAACTATGCCATCCAGAGCATCGTCTCCTTGTAGGGCATCCACGCTAGAAAGGTAGAAGGGTAGAGACATGACTAATTTAAAAGTGATCCGGACATCGTACGAGTTGTCTGATGTTTCAACGAAATGGGCATTCCAACCCGTAGACCGTGGATTGCTACCCGTGTTGGTGGTTGGCGAGATCCTTGCAGATGAAGACTGTAGCCAGACTCCTTACGGACAGAAAAATACCCGGACGGACAAGGTTATAATTTCAATAAGCTACTTTGACCCGGTCCGATTTTGAACACATGCATTTGGACTCTTCCTGTCCATGTTTCCCTTTATGTTGTTAATCTAATGAACGCTTGCTGTTAAACATAGCGTTGCATTCCGCACAGTTGTATGATTTCGTTCCCTTGCATTCTTTGGCATGCCTTGTCATGGAGTGTACATGTGCAAAACCTGTGTTGCATACATCACATTTCAATGGTTTAGACTTAAAATATTTGCTGTTGCAATAACCTTTAAAAATGTGCTTTATCATTAAACTTTCGATGAGATAGATCGCACTCTATTGGGCGAGAACTAATATGATCTTTCATATGATGTCTTAGGTCGATTTTTGAAGCATACTTTTTCCACTAAAAGAGGGACGAAAGATACCAGAGGGATAGTCAAACTAACATAGCACATCAAAAGTTCATTTATAGTTTATTAAAAAATAAGTTTTTATCTATTGTCCATGTAAACATTTTGTCCTGTGGAGGGCTGAAGACTGTATTGTGTGGTGCCTTCTCGATATCTTTTGATTAGTTTTGTAGTTGGGTTACTGCACCATTAGCGTATAACCCCAACATCTCCTTCTATTCGTCATAGACATAATCTGGTTCAAAACAAAACTAACAGATGTATAGTTTGCTAGAACCCAAATGTAAAACAAATATTATTTTTTGACTAGTATAATAATGTAAAAATGCTTTAAAAAGTTGTGTTGAATAGTCAAAATTGCAAAAAAGTTGAAGAAAATATTTATCAAAAAATTATAAAATAAGTTGGCCAAGAAATTGACGTAAATAAAACAAATTTAAGGACTTTAATTTATTTATAAATCAATTTCCTAAAACATTATATACTAAGTGCTATCTTTCTAAAGCATGTTTATTAAAGTTTTCTCAAAAATGTCTCCCAGCTAATTTATTGAAGATGATGACTTTATTTCTCATATGACTACAGTTACATCGTTATAGAGATCATATATAAACATAACTATAAGGTACAATTATTACATTATGTGTGAACAATACAATAAAATTAACTTGGAGGACTGACTTTCACATTTATAACTTTGATAAATTTACATAGTTTTTTCTAATATTACAATATTTGATGAGGTTAACAGTGGATCACATTTATAAGTTTTAGAGTTTGACCAACAATACTGTGGTAAAAATGTCTGTGTTTTTAACTCAAATGATCTGCAATTCATAATGTAATGTAATGTTACTCGTAACTAATGTCATTTGAGTCACAGGGCCGGGAGACTATGTCTTCTCTCGGTAAACCCTGCCACCTTCCAGACTCTATCGGCAGATGGTGACTACCACATATATATTTGCACAATGTATAAATGTTAATACTAGGTGAAAAAGAAAAGCATTTTTCTAATTGAAAATTCTTTTTTTTTTAAATATGATAACATATAGTTATGGCGATTCTGCAACAAAAGCGAAGCATTCTTGTTGAAACTGGTCTTTGAGTTTTTGCTCAATACTCTTGAACACCCATTTATCAGCAAACTGTGCAAGCCATATATATATTCGACCTACCACAATTATCACAAATATCTTTTATATATAATATCCACTTAATTCCTATTCCGTAATTAGTATGATATAAAAGCATAATTTTGTATAATACAATACGAATATTACTCCATAAATTTATCATTCGCAACTTTGCAGATACCGTAATGCGGTATTTACCAAGCTATGAATATGCTATACAATTTGGGGTGGACTTTAAAATTTAAATTTATTTTACAAAATTGTAAATGTACACGTACAAGTTTATCTATATTTTTAAATCCCTATATTTCTGATCCATATAAAAGTTCTGGTATAACCATTTTATCAAATAAGTAAAGTTGACACTCTATTGACAAGTTGTTTGTCTACATTTTGTTAATACACTATACATATCTTTTGTGGCTTGTTCCTTTAGATACATTTTATTTGATCAAAATGATCCACTTCTAGAAAATAAAAAACACCTAAATATTTGTATTCTTTTACAATTTCAATATTGTTACAATTAACAGTGAATTTGAGATTTGCTGGCATTCTACCACTTGAAAAAATCAGAACTTTAGTATTTTTTGTATTGATTTTCATTTTCCATTCATCACAATTTTCTTAAAAGGTACTTAACATGTATTCGTATTGCAGATCAGTGCTATTTCTGCTAATAAAACAGTATCATACGCATATAAAAGTACAAATAATTTCAAAAACACTGTCAACTCATTATTTATATCTTGTGATATTGATTTCAAGCCAGCTATACTTTTCTGTTCAAAAAAGTTTGTAGATCATTTGAAAATATGGAAAACAAAGCAGATGAAAGGTTTTCCCCTTGGCGTACCTCCATCTCTCAAGGGAAGAAATCGGATTTTGTCCCCTGATGTATAGTACGCGATTTGGCATAATGATTTATATTTTAAATAACACGAAGAAAATTTCCATTAATATTATTCTGCCATTATTTAAGCAGAAGTAAATTTCGCTGTAAAAAGTCAAAACTCTTTTTCGAAGTCGCTAAAAGCACAATGTTACTTTTTCTTAATGTGTCGGCTAAGATGGCGTAAAAATATTTAAATATACTTTTTAAAACTAATGGATTTGAACAATCAAGATTAAATAATTCTTCCTTGATCCGGTCAGTTTTATTTTTCATTTAAACATAGATCAAAGAAAGCTATGTACTGAGTAACAAAATATTCACGTGCCAAAATAAGTCCAGTTCTGCTATATGAAGTCGTGCAAAATTAGTTGGTTCATTAAACTGTGAACAGAATAAAAATGTAGTAAGCAGACTGGATTGTCTTTTTGTTTGTGTTATAATGTTTGCCTATTATCTTGAAAATTATAGAAGATAGATAGACACTTAAAGTCTTTATAAAAAATGATCAGACCAGATTTACTAATAAGCCAAATTTTGCCCAACTCGTTAGTAGACTCTAGATAGAAGTAATTGCCCTTAAACGACGATTTTTTTTACACTTTTCTATGTTTTGGGCAAAACTAAAGAAGACGAGAGACATATTGTAATCAGAATTTCTAAACAATTAATCAAACCATGTCAATTGCTTAACAAAAAGACGGGGGAGGTCTCAACCTACAAATTTAGGTACAGACGTCCGGCTGATGTTTTAAAAACACCCCCATTCATTTATTCATTTATGCGAAAATCCCTCCCCATTCATATATTTCATTTCTTTAAAAAAAAAAACCGACAATTTCAATGTAGATCGTTTGACGTACAATATAGATTCACACATCTTACTTTCATTTTATTCATTTGAAAAGAACTAAGGAAATCATGTTCTGGAAAGTAATCTAACCAAACAATGACTTACTTGGCCAAATCATGACAAAATCACCAAACACTCACCAGTCAATATGACAACGTTATTGCCCTTGGATATAATAATAAAATATATAGATATATAAACATCAGAAGTCCATTACTATGGTAGTTATGGACTTCTAATAAGGTTAATTTTTTAATCCATTTCAAAAATACTTAAGTTTTACAATTTTATTTCTGATTACTTCAAGCATTATAGATAAAAACAAGAACATTTGAAAGTCATTGTTTCAATATTCACCATAGTTTAATTTATGAGTCATGCGGTCCATTTAGTCTTTATTGACTTCGTAATTGAAAATTGCAATCGACATCAATAAAACGAACCACGTCGAGATTTTCCCATTCCGATGACTATTAAACGAAAAAGGAAAATGTTGTTCGCCCTTCAACCTTATTGGTAAGATGTTTTCAGTTCACAATTTTTATTAATGTAATACTATTTTATGTCTTAAAATTATCCTTGAGATATTGAAGTAGGCCTTCTGCATCATAACAATTAATATAGTATAAGACGGTGGTTCTGTGGTTTTCTCTGGCACGCGTTTGTCAGTGACACATGTTCTAACTTAGAAGTCTACGGACGAGTTTTCTAGTTTGGGAAAACTAAATATTGATCAGCAGCAAACGGTGAAATGGGTATTAGGAATCAAATATTTGTCAGTAATTGTGGATAAAGACGAACTAAAATGTTCATTTCCTTCTTTTAATTTCGGTAAGGTTAGTTTTCTAATAGCACTATGTCTCATTTTAAACCAATGTTGAAATAGATATAATCATCATGTCAGCAACTGCAGCTTCTAAAATAAAAAAAATATGTTATTAAAACAAATAAATTTGAAGCGCGTTTTTTTAGTAACTCAATAGTTTTTTTATTATCAAAATACCATTGAATTCGTGAGAGGTACACACAAAATGACAATTATTAGTATGAAAATTGTTACAACTACATTTAAGTATACAATGTGCAGGGCAATTTACCATTAGAGTACATCTAATACCGAGTTTGCTCCGTCCAAAGTGCGGACAATTTAAGATTGATTCATTGATGGTTCATTAATATTCAGTTGCAAATATTTTATGCATTTTCAGGACGAGAACAAATTAGACTACCACTGGAAAATGAGGGTACATTGTACAGGGATATAAATTTAAACTTGCAACAGGCCACCTAAGGAGTTATTGAAAGGGTTCTTAACGTACAAACACCGTGCCTTCTCTTTACACGAGGCGTTGAACTAAACGTCCCAATTCTGACCGGACATGTACTTATACATCCCGCACAGCTAAAAGGACGCCACTCTTTGGCAAGAGTTTTACTACCAGTCGGAAGACAAAAGTGAACATATTTCTATTCCCCAATCACAATTTCAGAAAGGTTTGTTATAAATCATGTTAGTATCGAAGTCCTGATTACTGAACTGAAGATACCCTCGGGACATGATAGTTAACAAGCAGTAGTATCGACCCAATGCTGTAAAAAATGAAAACAAAACTGTATAAATGTCATGCTTCCGAAGCGCTTTTTCGGATCACCTTCAGCAGGAACGGTCAAAGCCGAATATTTGAAAGCCAAGGATGTATAACGTCCGTTCCTAGACCATGCCGTATTGTTCATGTCTACATACAATCATAATATACACAGTCACTAATTCCATTTCCCATAGTTTAGATTTTCGTTAGAAATATGACCAAGCCTTGGATGATGCACAATTTTACATTTACGTCAACACAGTATTTACTTCAAGTTAAAAGAATAAAAAACATAACTAAATCGTGAACTTTTGGCAGGTAACAACTGACCAATATACATGTAGGACATGTGGTATGTTGTCAGTGAGAGAACTATCCACCATAGACCAAACGACGTTGATGAAAGCAACTATAGAAAGGCCTTCAATAATGAGAAAAACCTGTATGTTAATTTTAGACAATAAATCTCAAAAATTATGTTCAACTGAGATTATAACCCAAATCATAAAGACAAGATGTGAGTGCTGATTTATTTTGTTACTTATTTATGTTTTCATTGTTGATTACGTAATATACCTGTATAGTGGACAATTTACCTGTTGAATTAAGAACATCGATGGACATTTTTAAATTTAACTAGGGTATATATGATTTCGATGCACATTTGTATCAAATGTTTTTTTCTATATTCGATATTCTGTTATTCCGACGGCTGAAAATATTTGATACAAAAATTATTTCTTTTCGAATGTGATCACACCTTTTTCACGATAAACCCCCTTTTAAATATTCTTATCACGAGTGGTATGTTGCATCGTACTGAACAATATAGCTTCGTTTAAAATGACACACACCACAGGTGGAGCGTTATTGGCATCTAGCAAAGAAATCCGCTCAAACAGTGCCATGGGCCGTCTTAAAAAATGAGGTAAAAGTAGTTTACCGATTATTAAAACTTGTAAATCTATTTTGGATACTAGTATTCACAACCAATATTAGTGTACTGAAGCGAAAACAGGTACGTTTATTGCTAGGCATTCGTCACCCGCAAAAGGAATAACAAATTTGAATGAGGTTTGAGTTTCTGCTCGGAGGCCTCGCTGTAACTAAATAATAAAGTACAAAACCAACACAGCTTTTCTGGTTGTGTGCGTGTATGGATCACGTTTCATACATGTATAGACCATATCCGTTCTTTTGCAGTCATGTGCTATCCCAAAGTTTCTGTTTTATTTCTTCTTCTGAAACGACTACTTTTTATTCTGCATACAAATCCGAATTGGGGCTTGGTTGCAAATGAGTCAAATATTAACAAGGCCCCAAGATACGAAAAAAAGAGTGGGGTTGGACAAACATGAATACAGTGTTTATCGCGGGGAAGACGAAGTGTGCCGACATAGAGAGGATGTATTGTTTACTTTTATTAAAAATATTGTATGACAAAGTGTGTCGAGAGGGAAGGTAAATCCAATTTAGCACAATGCAATCTGGAACAAAGTATAAGCAAGTGTTTTGCCCTGATATGAATCTATTGGGATATAAAACTCTGATAAGAGTATAATAAAAGTAGAATAACAAAAATATCGAACTCCAAGGATAGTTTTAAAACAGAAAGTCCCTTATTAATGGCAAAATTAAAAGCTCAAACACATCAAACAAATAGAAAACAGCTTATCTCATTCCTGACTTGGTACACGCATTTCCATATGTAGAAATTGTAGGCTTAAATCTGGTTTTATAGCTAGCCAAACCTATCACTTGTATGACAGTATCATAGAGTTTAATTATACTGACAACAATGTGTGAGCAAAACAAATAGGTTATAGGTAAAAATGTCAAAAATTGGGGTACAGCAGTCAACATTGCAATATAATCTTAATCCTTATTAAAACAAACAACTACGGACTGTAATCAGGACGTATTGTCTGCAGGGTAATGTCATTATGACTTTCTTCGTGATTCCAATCTTATTATCACTGTTAAGCTATGATGACAGGAAAATAATTATATAATTGTATTGTCGATGATATTTACAAGCGTAGAAGGGATGAAAATAGTAAGGAAACGTTAAAATACAAGCCGTAGAAAAATAGACAACACTACCGACTACAGAAAAATAATTAAAAGTCGACAAAAAACTAATATTGAGTAACAAAACCTCACCAAAAACAAAGGGCGAAAATTTATCGATCGTGATTTAAATGTGAGTCTGGTGTTGTCAAATGTAATTTATTCATTGACCATGCAAATTTCCTCCATCATAGATTTTCAGGACTGTTTACCACTTGTGTACAAATACAGGAGGCAAAATATTGGATATTTTGCGAAGGATCAACGAATCTAAAATATGATTTCAATGATTTAGTATATTTAATAAATAATTATATCGTCTGACATACCAGTTGCAAATTTGATCATGTGATGATCGGTGCCATACAAAATATATGGGTAGGCCTTTCCAGGTATCCTGTCAAACTCGCAAATTCGTGAACTTCCATGATCTTTGTCAATCACTACAATCCAACCTTTGTCATTAGGGCAACCACTATGGATATGGCTAATGTAGAAATGTCGGCCTAGATGTCTGATAATAAATCAACAAAATAAAGAAAACTTCATTATATTAGCTGTCCAATCAAGTCTATTTTGCACAAAATGAATAGTCATTTGGAAGTCTCAACCACATTATTTACTTTTTTCTTTCTATTTTTGTTTGTCTTTATCTATATTGTATTATAGAAATAGAGAGATGTGGTGCGCCTGCAAATTGCAAAAATGGGACCCCTATCCGTAAATACTAAAGAACAATGACGTGAACCATTACAAAATATGAAACATGATAAAAGATCAAAAGTAAAAATTATAAAGCCGCGGTAAAACATTTGAAGGCAATAACTGACTAAAACCTGAAAAAGATATTGACAACAAGCTTGTTGAAACCAATGCGAATCGTCTAACACTTTAATGATTTCATGAAAAATTAAACAGCAAAAGAAAAAGAAGCCAATTGAACTTTACATCGTATTTACGATAAATTTTTTCTATTTCTTTTTCGATTGAAGAATTTAAAACCTCCTTGCCTAAGGCTCATGATACAGCATGTTTGCCAGATAATATTCAGGATCAACTTTTAAAGTGGCCTTAGAAGTCGAAATACTGTATCACTAGCCTATCAACACTGAGGTTTTGAGTTCGAATCCTGCATGCGACAGGTGTGCTCGACTCCAATCTTAATTGACTAGGATTGTCAATTTTCCAACCGAAAGTTCTTTGATCTCTCCGAGAACTCCGGATTCCTCCCCAATAAAAACTGCCAGCCTCGGAATAGCACAGTAGTACTGAAAGTGGCGTTAAACACCAATCAAACGATTAATCTATATGGAAGCTTGCAACCATAGTGTCTATTCCAAAGCTGAAAAAAAAACATACGGATCCTATTAATAATCGACCAATTGCTCATACCAGTGGTGTCTGCAAAACACGGATGGCAATGATCGCCTTGTTCTGTTCCTGCAATCCAATGGGTTATTGGCCAAAATTACGTGCGCATTTCGACAGGACTACAGTACTCATGTTCATCTTGTTCGATTCAATCATTCATCATCAATAACATCGCGAAAAACGAGCATGTGTCTCAGTATTCTTTGACTTTGAAAAGGCTTCTGACACCACTTAGAAATAAGGTATTATAAGATCTCTTTGATATTAGATTAAAAAGCAATATGCAACATATATTTTATTAAAAAGTCTAACAAAAATACCGAATCCTCAGGTAAATTCAAAAAATTCATAAAACCTTACAAAACCAAACGTAAGACCAATTAAACGAAATGGAAAACAACTGTCGTATTCTCGACATGGTACAGGCAAGACAATGGTGGGTTCTAACAGTCATTTTAATGTAAGAGTAAATTCTACAATGTATGATGTATTTGATGCGGAGATGGTAGTGCTTCAAGAGAGTGTTTTATCCGTTACAATATTCAGTCTTAAAATTAACAATCTTGCTTTTAAAAGCAATATTGAAGGTTCTTTATACGTTGATGATTTACTAATATATAACAGAGGTAAATAATATAAGTAATCTAAAACGGCTGTTCTATAGAAATGAAAAATGGGCTTCCTTTTAAATTTTCGACATAGAAAACCTATCGAATGCATTTCTACACCAAACGATTGCATCTTGATACATAGCTTTTCTCTAAGGAAACCAAATAAAAATGGTTTAAGTTTGAAAGAAAGTTGACCTTTCTCCCCATATCTAAAATGCTGGAGCAAGATATTTTAGATATTTATTGTGACTAGCACTGACTGGGGTGCTGGTCGCAACATTTCATTAAGTTTATATAGATCACTAGTTAAGTCTAATCAAGATTGTGGTTCATTAGTTCAAAATGCTCGATGCTGTACATAACCAATGTCTTCGTCTATGTCTTGGTGCCTTTCAAACCTCAACAGTTGTGATTTTGTTTGTAAAGGCCAACGAGTCTTCGCTCTCTCACAGACATTTGAAGCTTTGTCTTCAGTATGCAGTCAAGATTACGGCATTTCCAGAAAATCATGCCTACAAGGGAGGCGAAAGATACCAAAGGAATATTTCATAAGTCGAAAACAAACTGACAAATTGAATGCAATTGCAAAAAATGAAAAAAAAAAAAAAAAAAAAAAAACAATACACAAAACACAACAAAGAAAACTAAAGACTGAGCAATAAGAACCCCATAAAAAACCGTTGGTGAATTCGGGTGCTTTGGAAGTGTGTTTTCAATATCCTATTAATGAAAACATTTTTGAAAAACATGAGAATAAACTTCCTAAATTAGTCGTATAAAACAACCAAAAAATGTAAATGCCCTTCATGGTAAATCCCAACACCAAAAATGATATATTGGTCTTCGTAAATATAAAAACGCTGAAACAAACACCCTTTTAGTTCAACAACATACGGCTGTAATGAAATCTAATAAATCAGATTTTTCAACTGTTGATACTATTGTGTCGATGAAAGGAACTTTCTTTGGGGCCAAAGTTGCAAGTCTCCGCTTACCTTCTGTTGCATCCATCTTTCATGCAGAAGTTAGGGCAATAATTCTGGCCTTGCAGTTTATTGCTTCCTAGCTAAGACAAATCAAAATGTATTATATGTTCTTACGCTCTTTGATGTTTTCAAGATAGATATAATATGAAAATTAGAAACACGTTAATTCTAAAATGACCTTTGCGTTATCAGGAATTTGAACATTCTCAATGATTAGATTAATTGTCTATGTGTGCTAAGCCATACTGTCATCCACAGAAACACATTTGTAGATCAGGCAGCAGCAAGTGCCCAGAACGACCCTATAGCTCAATGTAAATTCCTATATACCAATTTTAGATCTTATATTAGAGAATATGTTTTAAATATATGGAAAATATGTGGAGTAAAAAAACGGTAATAAATCACTTATTATAATAAAACCAAATGTAGGCATACCTACATAAGTGGTATTTCAAGATTTCGTATCGATCATACTAGAATAACACACGAGTTTCTTTTAAAAAAATTAAGTTCAACCACATGTATACCTTACAATTGCAAGTATACAATTATACATGTTTTAATTAAATGTATTGACTTTTCCGATATTCGGAGAACATTTTAATGTAAATAGTATATATGAATTATTTAATAATATTACTATCCAAATGATTGTTTCATTTTCAAAAGAAAATGGAATGTGTTCCAAAATATAAACATGCTTTATTCGTTTTAAATGGTTTTTATTTTGATCACTTTATATTCTTGGTGACTTATATTTGTAAATAAGTAATTCTGCTATTAACTAAAGTTTTAGTACATTGTATATTGAAAGACCTTTTGTAAAAATATTTCAAATATATCTCGCCACGATAAAGCCTTTTTGTTTTGTTCTGATGCGACGTAAAGCATTCATCAATCACCAAACTTCGCTTGAAAATGACCTTTGGAAAGAACAAGATCCCTATTGATATATAGATCAGGTGAATGATGCTCCTGTGGTCTAAACGCCATATTAACTTTTATGTAAAAGGTCAAGGTGAAAGCAGCAACTAGTAGAAGACCTGTTTTTTTCAATTCTTTTATAAAAAAATTTGAACCAATCCGATTAAGGATGTTCGCTCCTCTTGTTTTTGAATTTTTGCCAGATTTTCGAAATCCTCTGGTTTTATCCATGTTTTGCCATTAAATAATTTTGTCCACTAACCCCTACTTTTCTTTTCCTAATTTTATTTTATATAGTTTTTAAAGCCATATTTGAAAATCTTATAAAATCCTTGTTATTTTTTCATAGTTTTTAAAAGAGAAAAGCGGACAATGTTAAAAGTATGAAAAATCTAGAGAGAATCATTTCCCGCCAAATTTTCAATGGCTTATATCTCAAAAACAAGCACACGGACCCTTCATTTTCTTCTGCTTTTTTGGTTCCTTTATTTATATACTATTAATTTATAACAGTCTTTTGAAAAGCTTGTTATTTTGAAACAGAGTAGCGAACATCCTTAAATGTCCCTTGGTTTGTCCCCTATTGACTCAAATGGAATTAAATTGATTTATGGCAAATTTTAATTTTCGGATGATATTTTGAACCATATACCAAACTGTCATTGAACTTAGCTTGAACACGCCCATTTGAAACAACAAGATCCACTCCTATTGATTTTGGGGTCAGTAGTACAATTGTCTGCATTTCAATTAACTGAAATTTGTGGAAAAGTTTCGTTTCCGCATAATATCTTGTGAACTATAAACAATTATTCACCTATATCTGTTGAATAATGCACAGTTTGGTCAAGAAGACCCCTATTAATGTTTAGGTCACAGTGTCAAAAGTCTAGGTAACAAAAACAATGTATAGACTACAAATTTAGATTTGTTTGGTTTCAGATAAATCTTTTGAACGGTACTTCTAATCACGCGTTAAAAAACTGTTTCTTAAAGTAATAACTATAAGGGTATGAACTTTACTGCAATTTTCGGACTTTTATCATTTGTTTGAGTATTGTATCAATGACACCTTGTGAACACATCTCATATGAGTCCGTCTAAAAGAAAGCTCTATTACTCGGTAGGATTGTTGACCATATTGTACCGTCGTTTTGATCTGACTATTTTTACGTAACTTATTGGACTTCGACGAGTATTTTTGGAGTATTTTAATAGTGTTACCGTGTGAACCCAACTCTAAAACTATTCAATTGAATACTCTCATACTTGGTAGGATTGTTTGCAATCATGTGCAGTTGACCATAATATACCAGATTTAATCTACTATTTTCTACATAAGGAATTGCCTGCACCAGGTCATGAATATGACAGTTTTTTTCCATTGGTTCGATGTGTTTGAGCTTTTGTTTTGCCATTTGATAAGTGACTTTCTGTTTTGAATTTTCTTTGAGTTCGGTATTTTTGTTATTTTACTTTATACCGTCATTTTGATTTGGCAATTTTTATTGGAGATATGGGACTTTAAAACCATATTTTGACTATCGTGCCATAATGAAACATCGTGACAAACAATTTAATTCCTCAACTATACAGCGCGAGGAACCTTTTTGTCACGGCGTAGCAATCTTGTTTAAACAGTAGTAATAAGTGGTTTGTTTTATTGTTTAATTAAATTACCCATCCACTGAGAAAAAATTAAAGGCTGACATTTGATTCAGGTCGTTGAAAGAATTGGAACGAAGTCGTTCCTTGGTGAACCAATCAGAACTTGTTGAACCTCGACCATCAAAATATATCTCTACATCAAGAGTTCCTTTTCTGAATAGTTCAACTTTCACCTGAAATGAAAATGTCACCGTTAATTCAGGAACAGAACAGAGATTTCTGCGTACATTGCGAATGTTGAACAATGGACAAAAATGTGAGATAAATTATAACAATTTCAGAAAATAATGCATAAAGAAATGCTTTTGATAAAATCTTCAAAGATACAAGGCTTATATTTGTGTATGCCAGACGCTTGTTTCATCTATATCAGACTCAGCCGTGGCTTTCGATTCGACACAGTTGGAAGGCCACATCAAATACGAAATTGAAGAGCATTAAAAACCAAAAATTGTAAAGAAAAGTTGTACAAAAATACAGTTAAGGCAATCTTTATTGTTTCGAATAATTCAACACTTTATAAGCAGTGAATATACAGACAATGAACATATCAATGACATTGCACGTCAACACAAAAGGGCTGCCAAATAGGCCGATGATATCTTCGGGGACGCAACGTTTACCAGCAGTAACATTGTTCCAGTGGTTGTAAAAACTCATAAAAAATACCAGGCTTATAACTAGGAAAGCCAGATGTGCGTTTCGTCTACATAAGACTCATCAGTGGCGCTTGAATTAAAATTTAAAAGACCCTTCTCATTGTAATGTTTGCATTTATAAAGATATCCCCAACATTTCGAAATTAACATATTAATATTAGATAATATAAATGCATCAGTTGAGAGTCGTTTTACTGTGGTCCATTCTAAATTAAAAAAAGCAAATAAATAAAGAATTAATTGATCTGTAAATAGCAAACTGTAATTTCCGAAATATAAAGTAAAAGGGTAAATGGTAAAACACTTAACAAATCTATTTCTATGTGTTTAATGGTAAGGGGTTGGTCGGATCATTATATGGTTCCACCAAAAGTGTATGCTTGATGTTGTCGGATTTTTTGTAACAAAAACCGCTTGGGTGGTCTCGTGTTTCAAATCTCGTTTGCAAAAAGTCACGTGTTCGATCCCGACAAGGCTTTTAAAATTGGTAGTTGCTGCCTCGTCGCTAAGCAGGTGGTAATAAGGAGGATGAACCAAGAGTTTTCGGTATTTAATATGAATAACTTATCACGACGGAGAGAGATGGCTGTTTCCGGACTGTGCCTTATGATTGATTTTTGTTTGCTTACGTTCAGTGGCAAAAATTTCATGCATGTTCAGAAGAAGAATAAATTACCAATAAATACAATACGTAGGTCTTGCAAATGGGATTTAACAAAATGATAGGCGGGAAATTGTGAATGCCACTTAACAATGCTAGAGGGATAGGCCTTAAGCCTTGCACCAGGCCACCTACTGACTCCTCAAAAAGTTTTCAAGGGTTCTTAACGTGCAGACAGAGCGGGACACTCTCTACACGAGCTATCAGATTAACGTCGTCATTCTGGCCGGACGAAGTTAGGAATTTATACATTCAGCAAACCCAAATGGACGCCACAATTTTGCAAAGTTTAAACTGTCTGTCGAAAGAAGACCAAGGGATGATATTATTTCTATACCCAGTAAACCCTTGGGATTAAAATAGTATATAAAAATCAGCATTCTGACGGTATTGCTTATGTCCCCTACCGGCTGACATGTTTACATTGAATGCACATTGGGATAGAACTTCATATAAAAGGCTATAAGTACGTCAATTGACCTCGAAAAAAGACGCTAAATAAACTAATTAAATGAACCGGAATAACACATAGCTAGAAATTGTTTGAATGATAAAATATTAGCTATATTTTAATTTTCGTCTGGTCCTTAAAAGAACCTAATGTAACATTTTTGTATCGTAGCCCGGTTATGGAATACCCCTCACATCATGGTTAAAAAATTATATAATATAAGACTCTTCGTAAAAAAATTCATGTTAAAGATAATCGTAAGTGCATATTTGTGTTTCAGTCAACATGCGTTGAGAGGTATTTATCAAAATCAACACCTGTGCATTTGAATTTCGAATTACAAGTCTACATATCACAAATATACTATGTAGCAAGTACGGAAAATTAAAATTTGAATTTTGAATGGCATAGTTACATAGTTCGAGTTGCAATTATCAGACGTTCAAATGTCGAGCTGCACTACTACAAATTAAGAATTGCAAAGTTGGAATTTGAAAATTACAGAGTTACTAACATACAATTTAAGAATTGTAAAGTTGGAATTATGAAATCTTTGGCTTACCGTAGAGATTGACGTTTAGCTAAGATTTTTTTAATATCATTTCCTTGTGTATCTTTTCAAACCATTTCTTACTGTCTATATAATACGACTATAGTCTTAGATACATGATTGTTTTTTGTTTTTGGCTTTGAACTAGATGTCAGTAACTGCGAGTACTCTCAAATCTGTACTTTTTGTCTTTTTAGTTGTCAGGGATGAGGGATGGATAAATACTCTGCCACGTCCGGTCTGTATTTTCGTTTGATGTTTTTCTGCTTTGTATTGGTCTAACGAGTTAAACCTTTTTCAACTGATTTTTATAGTTTGTTCCTATGTTGTGCTGTTACACCACTGTCTCAGGTTAGGGAAGGGTTGAGCGCTCACAAACATGTTTAACCCCGCCACTTTCTTTGTGTACCTGTCCCAAGTCAGGAGGCTGTAGTTCATTGGTTGTCGTTGGTTCATGTCTGTCATATTTGTTTTTTGTAAATTGTTTTGTTATAAATTAGGACGCTAGTTTTTTCAATTAAATTGTTTCATATTTTTCATGTCGGGGCCTTTTATAGCAGATAATACGGTATTGGTTTTTCTCATTGTTGAAGGTCGTACAGTTGCCTATAATTGCTCACATCCACTTTATTTGAACTTTGGTGGATAGTTGTCTCACTGAAAATCATACCACATCTCCTTATATTATATAGCTAATGTGTGTAACTCTCCGAAAGCAAGTAATATGATGACATTGCCCATTTTTGAATGGCAGCTCTTCATATAAATAGTCAAACTTGTCGTTTTGACATCCTTCGAAAATATGAATGATTAAACCGTTTCTGTAGCATTTTATTGAATATATCTCACTACAGCCAATCGGTTTTTCTCATGTTTGAAATTATGATATATTCAAGGTTTGACTTTTGACCTTAATTTCACAAAAATTGACCACTTTGGGTTTTTACGACCTAACCTTTTCTTATTGGACACATTTACCTCTTTCCATCGAAAAGGTGTTTGTTCTTACGATACATTGAAGTCCAAAAAAGTAAACTCTGGTTGCAGTTTTATATATACGATATATATAAAACAATAGAAAGAAGCATATTTGAAGAAAGTGCGGAAAACTTACCGGACGGATATATTGACAGACTGAATGACATAGGTAGTGAACACCTATAGTCGTCAAGGACTGGAAACAAGGCAAAGCAGTGTTCAAATATAATTAACATATTCTCATCCTGTAAATGGTTGTAACATTTGTGGCTGGACATTAAACATCTATTATTTTACTGATATTGACGAAATTCAATCCTGAAGTGTTGACTTGGGTAATGGAACAAGGACATATAGACTTCTCTCAAACGAGAATAAAATCCGTTCTTAGAATGCCTCCGTTTTGCTGTGAAGGATATTTAACTATTTCGTGGCGGTCATTTTTCTTTAGTGTAGGAAGCCAGAGAGAACCATATACCATGGAGTACCCGCAGAGAACCATAGATCATCTGCAGGAAAACTGACGATCAAAAGCGCTTCACCGTCACGTTCAGGGGAAGCGCTTTTGAACATCATACATAATGTACTTCGGTCAACTCTTTTACACCCGAGTAAAATCATAAAAATAAGCATTCTATTCTAAAATTAATGTACATATGATAAGCAATCGGTATAAATAGTCGACGTTATCTTCAGAGTATAACATGCTTTGCCAAAGTAATCATCTTCATTTTGAAATATTTGTGTTTTTTTTTTTTGCCTTGTGTGCTTGCTATTAAATGAAATATTTTCACATACCCATCTTTTTCGTAGTCAATGTGTACAAAGTATCCTTAAATACTTATTAGACATAATAAATACGAACACACGATATAATCAGAGACTGCACGGGTTTACTTGGATTTTACTTCCGAGCACCATATACTCTCTGAAACCTCTTAAATTGAAATGGGTAGCATACATTGATATTCCATGTACACCGAATGTCATTTTCATATGTATAAGATATATAACCAAACTATCTTTGTACCTCCGAGGAACTAAATTAGCTATACGTTATATGCTAGTATACCTGGTCAATATGTGACCCATCCCAGTTGTCAATCATGCTACTCCTTAGATGTCGATTGGTACGCAAGTGGGTATTGTTTTCAATGTCTCCTCCCAAAGACGAATTTCTCCAAGTGTCCAATACTGACTGTTGATTACCAGGGCGTGCCACAAATATCTGTTTAAAAACTTTAGAAACGGAGAGAAATAATTATTTTTTCGCTATGCTTTATAATAATTAATATATTCATAACGATAACATATGAAATTGGTGTACTCTAAAACAGAAATGTTATGAAATTCTATTCTTACGAAACGTCTTTAAAATATATAGGAAATTAAGTAGACAACAGGATTTTACCTATGTTCAAATCACATAAATCGATTTAGAAGACAAATCAAGATAACACATGCAACTTTAGGGAATCGCAGGAACTCTAAAAGGAGCGAAAACTTGAACGTCGACAGGGCATGCGTCTAATGCTATGAAAACAGTACCTTCTATGCCACCAAAAATATGTCAAAAATTGTCACAATTGGGAATAACACTACAGATGAGACGACTATTCTTATATTTAAAAATATAAGACTACAAAAACATGTCGCTAGTGATATGAGACACAGAGGTATCGTATCTGTCAATATATTTGTGATAGTGACATCTTTATATTCGGGAGGGACTATCCTGTAAGCCAATTAACTTCTGGACTATATCAGTATTTCGTTGCTAATTGTTCACTGTCTGAAATTAATTTTGTCAATTGTTATGTCGCTCATTGGTGCCAACTGTCTGATCAATGTCAAGTCAATGACTGTTAAAAACTATGCAACAATATGCTCTGAACGTTCTGTCGAAAACCGTTTTCTAACGGGCATTAATTTACAGTTTTACCGTATGAAGAGCAGAAAATAAATCAAAAATACATATTACTTTTCGAAGTTGATATACTTCTTAACTGCGCCATTTTTTTAAACAATGTTAATCGTACTTCATCATGTTCTTTTGGAATTACTAGTTCCTAACTAGATATTATCAAATAAATATTAAGGGCTTCAAACTAGTCCTTTTGTTTAGATCTCAAATCTTAATTTTAATTGTTGATCAAGGATACACAAAACAGATGAAAAATATAACTAGTAATTAAAAGTAGAAAAAAATTAAATCTAAAATAGAGGAATACTAGTGACCAATACTACCCTCTAAAAATAATAGGCCGTGTATCAAAGAATGCTCGCAGTTTCTAGAAATGCTTAACGTACCTAATCTGTTTTTATGAAATTAGTCTCCTACACTCATAACATCGATTGGTGTACATCTTTGAAAATTTCACACAGTACAAGAAGATAAGTTATTGTATTCCTCAGAACCAACTACATAATTTGAGTGTAAAAAGACAAAAACACTTTACTGTTGCTACAAACTACAAATTAACGCAATGATGTGTATGCCTGCAACATAGGCATGTAATGTACAGGAATAAAGACCAGATCGTGAACAAAAATAGAAATATAATAATAAGATCTTTTATGATTGCCAATGAGACAACTATCAGCTAACTAAACCTCTCACTTGTATAACAGTCGAGTAAAATTCCATTATATGACAACAATGAGTGAGCAAAACAAACAGACATAATAGGTAAAAATGTCAAATCTTGAGGTACAGCAGTCAACATTTGTCATAATCTTAATCACTAAAAAAACAAACAAATATGTCAACAAAGAAAAACAAAAAGGCATGTAGACACTCTATAGACAAAGCACATAAGCAAAAACGAAAGACAAGAATAAAAAAATATGACCATAGCACAATAACACAGCCACGCAAAAAATGATATTACCAAGAATGGACTAAACAGTAAAGGTTAAAATATGCAAAGACAAATAAAAAGAAACCTATAACACATAATTAAGATGATAAACAACGTCAGCACCTAGAATCTATCTTCAAGACCATCATATATTATTTATGAAGTTGATACGGAATATTATTCAACAAGGTCTTGGTATCTTCCGATGAACTTTTGTTTAACATAACCCTAGTTCGTCAACTTTTTGCCCAGACACTTGTGACGTTTTATAAAGTCTGAATAGCAGCTGCAAGCTTACCCCGAAAAAAAAATGTTTGATAGATCGTTAAAAATGTACGAAATGCAGTGTGTGAATTTCTTTACCCTCTCGTTGCCGCTGATTTAATATTGTTACATTAAGTGTGCCAGAAAATACGACAACTGGACGTCTGTGACGTCACAGATCCAACTATGACGTCATGACATAATGACGTTGCATTTGAGACCCATTGAAGAAAAGCATTGCACTGTAAAATCTTTAATGATGTATTTGAAAAAGATAATGTAATGAAAAGGTGCTTGCATAAATTAAACATATGGACATATGTGTCCCTCCGGTATCATGACATAAACAGTATTGGGATGTTAAACGTACTCATCCACTTCTACTTCTAGTATTGAATTTGTTTTATTAATTAAGTGCATTTTTATGGAATAAATCAAACGTTTACTTGTATGAGGGACACTTTTTAACTCGTATCTTTATTTAAAAACTTATTTTCAGGAAATATCTGCTAGCACTGCATGCTTCAATCCTCTATCTATTAAGTACCGAAACTGTCAAATATAACAATACAAGAGGAAAGGCTGTGGAGTTTCTATAAATTTCTATACGTTTAGCATTGAAACAACAAAACGATACATACTCTTAAACAAAATAATTACATTTCTGTTGATAAATTGTTGTTTACCATTTCATGTTCAAAATACGTTGCATATTGCATTTCAGTTCATAAATCGTATTAATTTTTTTGGCAAAATTTATCTGAACCATCATGTAATTGTCTCGTTATCAATTTCTTCCAACGTCAAATAAAAGTACAGTTTTATAGGAAAACTAATTTGACTGACACGACACGGATACTGGTTAACAAGATACAAGTTAACTTGTATTCCCGATCAAACTGTGGACACTGAAAAAGTAGACGGCCTCATCCCCGCGAAAATATGGTGACTTGATAAATTATTCAAAGTCGTTCATTGAAACAAAGGGTTTACTTATCTGATTTTAAATATATAAAACGTACTTCTTTTAGGCATCTGTGAAAACCATGGGAAGCATGAGTAAGTCATTTCCTTTGGCATACACACTTCATTCAGTTTACAGTCATGACCTTTACATGGACCAGCTAGTTCCTAAAAATTGATACAACAAAATGTACTAGATCCTTAATTGTTTTTCCAAAATAGAAACACAGCATATCCCAAGGTGCCATTCAAAACTTATAAGTCAATAGACTATTTTCATATTACGGACTTTTGACTCCGTATTTTATAATTTTTCGACAAGAAACCTATTCTATGATAGGACATCCTGGTACCCCGCTAAGTAAGAGCAACCAAAAGAGGTAAAATCAAACATATAATCGGTGCAATTTTACTGTTTTTCGATGATTTTGTCATTTATAGAAAACATGAAACAGTTAATTTTACACCCAAATTGTACCGATTGTAAGCATGATTTTACTTCTTTAAGTTGCTCTTACCTGACCAAGTATCAGGATGTCCTACCACAGAGTAAGTAACCTGTCGAAAAAAAAAAAAATATGTACGGATTCAAAAGTTGGTAATATGAAAATAGTCTATTAGAAACCAAAAAGGCGATGGCAAGACGACGAGGGGGACAAACAGCTCCACAAAACACTAAATAATAACTAAAGACACGAATCCCGCCAAACACTGGCGCGATCTCATTTGCATCCAGATGGGTAAGCATAATCTACAATGGCACCTTTATATTGCTAATGGTAAATACAATTTCGGTTATAAGTATCATTCATCGAGAAAAACGGATTGTTGTTACAATTATTATTACACAATGTTGACTGCTGTACCCTAATTTTTGACATTTTCACCTATTATGTCTGTTTGTTTTGCTCACACACTGTTGTCAATATAATGGAATTTTATGAGACTGTCATACAAGTAAGAGGGTCAGCTAGCTTAAAATCCAGGTTTAATCCACCATTTTCTACATAACAAAATGCCCGTTCCAAGTCAGGAATATGACAGTTGTTTTCCATTCGTTTGATGTGTTTGAACTTTTGATTTTTGCTATTTGATAAGGCACTTTCCGTTTTGAATTTTCCTTGGAGTTTGGTATTTTTGTTATTTTTATTTTTTGGAACAAATTCATGGACAATCAGCTAACCCGTAATGACCTCCGTAAAACTTTCACAGGAATTTTACCACTTAGACTCTTGTTTTGATGTATCGTATTACAAGGACATTCTCAGAGATGTTCTGAATGAAGCATTAGTTTGCTACAAAATTAAAACATTGGACAATTCATCTATTAGAAATAATTTTATGAGGACTAAATGCTTCTTACTTTAAAGATACCAATAATTCCTAATTGGTTTTTAAATCAAAGGTATTTCTTACTTGTCTGAGTTACAGATTTCAATACTCTAACGATGTACAGATATATTGTTCTGTTTGCTTATGATTTAATTTTGGATGTAAAAAAAAACGTTTTCTGATTGGCTGAAAGTATTTTTCCATCAGCTCAGACTTTATTTTGTCATGAGACCATGACATCATCAACGTTTTTTCACGATTTGTTTTTTTTAAAAATGCAATTTAGATTTAAATTATAAGGAATGACTGAAACATGTTTTTTGTCCATTCGAAACAGACCAAATTTGGATGACATCTATTAAAATGTTTGAAATAATTATGAAGTTGACAAGAAATGAACTTGTTCAGATAATATACAGTCAGCCTACAGACTTGTTGCCTCCTGAAATGTCTGCTTTCACAGTGCTTTCCTAAAATGATTTGTAATGTGATCGTTTTCATGATGAATGCTGAGCAAACTTAGATTATGCCGTTGGTTTTCTCGTTTGAATTGTTTTACACCTCAAAAATGTGGTGCACACTTTCAAAAAACACGCTACGCGGGTTATTCAGTGTGCACCACATTTTTGATGCTATTTCTTCATAAGACAGAAAAAATATTACAACCATTCCTTTAAAAAGTATTAAAACGCTAAGTATTA